AGGAAAATGCGTTATCAGCATAGCTATGTGTCGAGTAGTTTAGCCTAGATTTTTGAACTATAATTACGATATCCCGAATTTATTGCTACGCGTATCTTATCAAAGTAATACTCTAATCGTAGAAGACAAGAAATTCGATATTTTCAGCAATATTAAATACTTAATACCAGTATTGATTTTTTTTTAATTTGAAGCATGTTATACTGTCGAATTTTCTGTGTTATAATAAAAGGCTTTCGTAGATAATAGACCACCATGGAACGAAAGCAATAGATCAGATCGAGTTTATGAAATCAGATAATTTTACTTCATTTCAACTCGCTTGCGTTCCATATTAAACTAAAATCATCGATAATATAAAACTACTTTGAACTTCAATTTCTTCTACGATAACGTGTCGCAATAAACTTTTTTCAACTTACTTGGGAAATCGTGTAACTCCTCCGCAACTTGGTTCGAAGGTTCCGCATAATTTTCCGCTTCTTGATCGCTCGAATCCGAATCCATGGTCTGCGGTTTCTCACGGCAATAGAGACACCACAGATTTTTCTTCGTACCACGAAACTTCATGTTCAAAATTTACCAAAAGGAAGAACAATTAACGACGAAGAATTTTGCTATTTGTCTATCGAAATTTCCACTGTTCCAAGTACGTAATTACTCGTGATTTGTGTTATGAGAAGTTTGTTAATGCCGCGTGCCGGTAGATGGGTATGGGAATACTTACGATATCTGATAAATAAGACATCTAAACATTTCGTGTTCTGTCCTTGGAAATATTAATTTTACGCGACTATAGAGGTGGATAATGGACGGACTGGGTTTGTAATAAGCAGTATGAATTGGTAAAATTAAAATAGTTTTACATAACGAAAGAATGTTCGAAATATTGAGTCATAAAATAGAATTACTTTGTTTAAGAGAATATATCAGTATTTACTAAAATAACATACTGTCTGAAACAATAACTTGATAAAATGATTAAAAAGAAATCAGAAACTGTAAGTTGCGATAAATGACTACAGTTATTCTTGACCGATGATGATGAATCATGAATTAGCAGATTAACAATGCAGTAACACAATAACTAGTAACTAATTACAGTTTTATATACGAATTGCAATGAAAATTTAGTATGACACTAATAGACGTACCGTGTTGCTCAATGCATAATAGAATTTATTGACTAAAACAGTTACTATAGTTCACTGCAGGAGCTCAGTAACATTCGCTGCAAGCAAGCTATAGTATAGATAAACCGATATGAACATAAATACATGAAAATAATAATAATATCATGCAATGTCTTTTTAATTAAAAGATTATTTTCCTATTTAAAGATTTGACCGACACGAAGAATTACGACAAACTGGTACAGATAGTGAGCGAAAAAGTAGGCAATGCTGGATTGAACGTCTTGTTCAATAATGCTGGTGTTAGTTCAAAATTCACGAGACTCGGTCTCGTCAAAGAGGAACAGCTTACACAGATGTACTTCGTGAACACAGTAGCTCCAATTTTGCTAACAAAAGTAGGTTTCGACATTCTACTATATTGAAAATTCTCAAATTATCGTAACAAAATTCCTTATTTAATTTGAAGGCATTTCTACCGCTGTTAAAATTGGCAGCTAATAATTATGAGGACAAGTCGAAAATGAATATTAATAGATCGGCAGTAATTAATATGTCCTCCACCCTCGGAAGTATCGCGGATAATCAATCGGGTGGATTTTATCCGTACAGATGCAGTAAGGTAATGTAAAATACTTCTCAGCATATTAATTTGTTTTTCCCTTTAATGAACTGCTTGTTTTTATTAAAAAGTCACTAATCATTCCAAGAAAAGTCGTCAAGTCTGTAACAAATGTTCATTAATTTTTTCAGGCAGCGCTTAACGCAGCCACGAAGTCGATGAGCATCGATCTAAAAGACGATGGGATTCTCGTGATTTGTTTGCATCCCGGTTGGGTACGTACAGATATGGGAGGAAGCACCGCGCCTATGGACGTTGATACTAGTATCACTAACATCCTGAATACTCTGAGTTCATTAACTGAAGAAAATACGGGTTCTTACATTCAACACGACGGGAAAGTGCTACCCTGGTGAACACAAGTTTTACACCAGTCCTACACTTTCATTTCTTTACTTTGGAATATTCGCATTTTTAATAGACAGTAAGAATATTATTATAACAAATTCGTTTAACAATTTACAGAATTCATCAAGAAAAGCTGTTAATTATAATAGAATCGAGGTATTAAAGAAGACATTGAAATTAATTTTATACTGATTTAGATATTTTTCTGTACATATTTTATAACTTATAGAGATTATACTTAAAGATAAAAATTTATGTACACAGTTATCATACAGAAATTATAATAGATACATGACGAGATGTTTCGCTTATTTTCCTTCAAATGAATGGAGAGATTATTTTTTTCGGAGATCGTAAACGTTAAGTACAGCTACTTTTCGAGAAATGAAAATGATTCTATGGTATGTTATCACAACGTATGCGTAAGTATGTATACAAATTCAAACGTTCACAACTTTATCATTTTATTCGCAAGTGACGAAGCGTATTTTGTACATGTCACGGTGCTATAACGAAACATCAAGGAATGGATGTTTTCTCTAGATATTTGATGGTAAAAAAATGACATTTGAAATATGTACAATGACGATTAATTGTCGAACAACTGTTGAACATGTAGTAATGCATTCAGGCACAGATACCTTGAAGACGAATGTAATGTTGTACATAAATGTTTCGAAAACATTATTTTATATCGGAATAAAATCTATACCATCGCCTATTTTACATTATCGATGTTATAAAGTACACGTTGTAAAAGATTTTCGAGATTTTACAGAGATTTTGTATACATCCTGCAAATTAAATAATACCGCGAAGATATAAAGACTGTTTAGAATGTGCAATCTTTTACTCTGCATGAACAAAAACTTAAAATGAATTGAACATTCAAGATACACATTTTTTAATTAACATTCTCTAACTTTAAAGTACGAAACTCTGTAGTATAAATCCAAACTGTTCAATTCTACACCGAGAAATTAAATTTTCTCTTAATAGAGACAGAGTGAAAAATGAAAAGACATTTCTTACTTCCTTCATTCATTCATACCTACTATTTAAGATCACTATAATATGTGAATTCTTAAAGATGTAGATGATTTCTAAATACCTTATCCAAGTAATATCCATAGAATTAAACCCTAATCAGTCTTTAACCTTTTAGGTGTCGGTTCACTATTTTGCGAATTGGAGTCTTCTGAAAATCCTAAGTGTGCAGAGAAGTCAGTCAATCCTTGAGAATCACTAACTGTTGAGAAACCTAATTAAAAAGCTTCCATAAGTTTTGAGATTTGAGAAATCATTAAATATCCTATGAAATATTTATCTCACATGTATTTGAGTCCTCGGTAAGTCCGAAATTAGAATTTGAAGATTCTAATCCACTTTTCCTTGGTAAACCATTTTCTTTGTCTCCGACCGTCTTCCCTTTCTTCTTCTAAATAACAAAATCAATTTTTACTTTTTCTAATTTCTACAAATACTTTCTAAATGTTATATACCTGATCAAGCGTCGATATAGGCACCCACTTGTAAATCTTCATAGTGGTTTCTCCTATCGTAACCCATTTCTTTTCCCTAAAAAGCACAGGCATGAAAATGGGCATTTCCTCAATTAATATCGAGACAACAGACAGAGAAGCTACCTTCTTTACTGTTAATAAAAGATCAGAAATACAAAACACTATTACTCAATCGACACGTACGAAACATTTCAGAGATGCTTTAACAAAGAGCTGACATGTGTAATGCAACATCTCTATTAAAATTTGTATAGAAGAAAGACTTTTCATCCGTTTTCTCTGATATTCGCATAGCTCTATTACGTATTCTTATTTTCTGAGACTTTTCAACATTTCCTCGTACACGTATAATATGTTAAGGGATTTACCAATGGCGAACTTTGTCAACGACTTGCATTACACGTTTAATATCATCCTTGGCACGACTACGAGTCTCTGCACGCACTGAACGCGACATCATGTTACGCGATTGCTGTGTATCTATTAAACTGAACGCGAAGATGCAAAACACCGGGACATTCGTTCGTGGAGAGGTTAGGAAACTGACAACTATCTGAAATTTCGACAGCGGGACGACGAAGAAGTCTTTACGGATTTAAAACGAGATCCAGATTTACGATCATAAACAAGACGATAAGTACGACCGCGACGGTACGCAGGGTTGCGGCTCCGGATATGCGGAGCATGCGGAGTGGTAGCGGTGGACAGGGAATGGCTGAAGTGGCCAGATTGCCAGATCCATGTGTGCGGCACTTATCGAGAAGCCAAGTACACAAGCCGAAGCCTGACAAGCCGCATATGCGAACGAACCACGAATACATAACATTAACACATAATTTTATAGGTTGTAACCGTTATAGGTATACAAACATTATTTGATATCTGTTGATGCTACAAGCTACAACCTTAATCCTTAACTGAAGAAGTAACTGATGTTATTAGTTTCTAAACCGTTAAATTCTAACAGGATGTACTCAGGTCGCTGTATTCTGTCATATTTCTCAATCCAAAGTTCGGAGCGAGATATACATATGAAAATCTTACAGAAAATGTCATTCCCGCATACTTCGGTCCAAATGTTGTTTATTAATCAATACCAAATGTTTGTTGAAGCAACATAGTATTATAGACAACAATAATACGTATTTCAATTCGATACACGATTGAACTCATAGTATATGTGAAAAAAAACAATCCTGGATCGAATGTTACCTTGCCTAATTATACTGAACAGTATAAATATAAGCCTTCCTTCTGGCTGAATTAGATGAAAGAGAAGCGCAAAGTAAGAGAATGAATTTTATCTTTAATACATGAAGTGTCTGTAATCTATAAGCAACAATATCGATACAATTTGCCACTCCAATCCAGGAATAGTTTTACGAACGAATTGAACAAGTGAACGTTTCAACTTCTAAAAAGGTGAAAAAACCAAGATATGTAGTAAGAAATAAACTGAACTTGCAAGAGTTGTAATCATTGTTTAACATATGTATTTGCTTCCAGATTCAAAGTTTTTATAAGAAATGAGCAATCCAAGATTAAATCCAAATATAATTCCAGCGTTAAAATTGCCAAGATACAAAAATTGGGCTGTATCTGTTAATTTTGTCGTGAGCACCACTGAAATATGGGCCAGGGTTGTAAACGAGATTAATATTATAGTTAGTAAAAGTTACCTATCTATAAACATCCATTATAAATATAATTTTGTACTGCTTATGACTGTTCTCATATTGTAACTCATACTAGGATCCGTTTTATAAAATGATGGAGGAGATGAACGATTTTTACAACAATCGTGATTTAGTTCCTCTAAGAGCAAGTAGAATAAACTTTGGACATTATTATGCAGTCTATGAACACGAAACGTGGCACAGAACTCGTTGTAAAAGTATCGATGTTGAAACTGGAAATATTACTCTGTTTTTCATTGACCATGGCAGCACAGACATTCATCATTGCACCGAATTGTATACATTGGAAAGAAAATTCTACACATTGCCAGCTCAGGTACCTAATTGTTATTAGAATGTAGTTTGTTGAATTATTAAAAGAGGATTATTAAAATGAGTTTTATATATTAGGCATTAAGGCTGCGTCTTTTCGGTTTGGAATATGCCCATGATTATTACGCTCTTGTAAGACGCATTGACAAATTACTATATGATCGTCCTCTATTTGTTAAAGTAGTAAGATTTGATAGAGACGAGAAGGGACCAATTCTGACTGTTGTGTTTTACGATACATACGGACGAGAAGATGTCAATCTTAATGACTATTTCACAGATTATATATTATCAGTAGCACGTGGCCCTGCCTTGGATACTGTAAGTCTAATATAATTTTGTGTACGATTGATTAACATAACATTTTTTAATTAAATTCTTATTCAACACTATTTGTTATTTATAGTGCGGAAAAATATATGAAGTCATTATATCTTACGTAGACACGAATGGTGATGTTTATGTAGAAATTAAGACAAAAAAAATGAAATTTGTATACTACTTATTAAATCGATTAATACCTAAAATAAACGAAAACACTAGAGAGATTTGCCCTATAACTACGGTTCAATCTTCTAAAATCTATTTGGTATGGGTACATAATAACTGGTATCGAGCGAAAATATTATGCTTTACCTACCATAATCAGTTAAAGGTACTTTTAATCGATATTGGTCATACCGTTCTCACAGTCAAAAGCAATCTTCTTAATTTAGAACAATTGTGTGAACCATTAGCGAAATGTCCTGGTCAGGTAAAGTTCTTTTTCTTCTGCCTAATAAAATTTATCAATCGAAATCAAAATAAGTTTTCACGATTCGTAATAATAGGTGAAGAAAGTACATATTGTCAACATCAACAAACTATTCGTCAAAAGGGTGGTTAATAGACTTGTTCCAAAGGGTCTACCAATTCTGATGAAAATTGATTCATTTAAAGAGAATGTACCTTACGTGAAACTATTCAGACAAATGCACCTAAGTGACATGCTTGTTCCTATCATTGACAACTTAAGCTCATGCAGATACGAGTATGATATAAAAAGATGAATGAAAATCTTATAAAGAAACAGCAAATATTAATGCTTGTCCGTATTTGCAGAATACCGTTCATGCAAAGAGAACGAATGATGGAGGATGATGAAATCATACGATCTTTGAACCCCCCGAGACTGCCAGACATGCATGTATATTTTGAAGTACATGTAGTAAAGGCACTGAATCCTGATGATTTCACCATTCAACCATTTGCTTACAGACGTGCATTACACGTGAGTTGTTCTACGTGTTATATTTTCGTTGCCGTCTTTTTCACAGAATTATTTGAAATCTAATTCTCTTTTTAAGGAGTTCATGAACCGGTTAAGAGATGTTTGCGAAGAATATGAAGGTCCTCCGCTGACTAGAGTTAAAAAAGGCCAAATATATGCAGCACGACTCACCGACGGTCATTGGTACAGGTATAAGGAAATAAGTAACTTATAAATGTGAATCTTAGGTTCAAGCTGCGCGTATGAAACTCTTAATAGGAACAATCAAATCATTTTTAAGGGTTCGCATGTTAAGTGTAATTAGACCATATTTGATCGGCGTTTACTTTTGTGACTATGGAGACGAGACAGTATTGCCTCTAAGTAAATTGCAACCTTTGCATAGTGAATTCTTAGAATTTCCTTATCAGGCTATGAAAGCAAAATGTGCTGGTACGTTTACTTTTTTGGTCAAATATCATTTATTTCGCCAGCTCACGTAGGGATGTTGTTCTATCTCGTCAATGTTGTTACCGATTTAAACAGGTATACGACCGATTAACGGTGATTGGACTCCTGACGACATATTAAGATTTAAAGATTTGGTGGCAGGCAGGAATTTCGGATCGGTTATTGTGTCTAGGCCCGATGTAATTTCCAACGATACGATATTAGGATTGCAATTAATCGATGCTAATAAGAGAAGTGGTTCTCGTATCGACAAGATTCTGGTAGATGAAGGGCGAGCCGTATATTTTATTGAGTAAATCCCTTCGATTCCACCTGTTGCCTTATCCCTTCGATTCCACCTGTTGCTATATCTTTCCAATTCCACCTGTTGCTATGTCCTTTACGTTGGTCGTGAATAATTAAGTATTACTTTGCGTGCAATACATGTATGTTGTAACATGCAACATTTAACTATTCTAGCATAGTTCGATGAAAGAAGGGAAAACCAATTAATGTAGCCAATATGTTATGCTGTCTAACTAAAATATGCATTCTCTTAATGCCCAATTTTTCGATACGCAGCATGTCAACTGTAAAATTTACGAGTTGCTGCTGGATAGATTTATTGATAAAAATTTCGTTTCTAATGCATTGCCTAAACGCCATGAAAGCATGCAGTGCAAGAACTGTGAAATGTATACATATCGGTATACTTAGTACACTATTGATTCCTACACATGTACAGAAATTGTACTGTATTACTAATTTGTACACCAACAACTAACAATTCATTTAATTTTTTTAATTATGGTGTCATTGTTATCATTAATAACAAACTGCCCTGATCTTTTCCGGAATTGTTTGTAATGTACAACCTATTAATGTCACTTAGTATTCATATTTATTATTTATCTAGCATATGATAGTTCTTCCTAAAATATTTCAATTTACTTAATGGTACTATCCAAATTTGTAGAGTTCCTTTTTAAGAAACGTTTACAATGCACTTAAATGCTGATTAATATTTCATTTAAATGACATAAAGA